GCTCTTATCCTTCACACGTCAACCTTCTGACCTCAGAGGATGTTCGCCTATCTATTGCCTACTTCATTTTGCCCGGCTGTGGGTAAAAAAAAAAAAAAAAAAGGACCAGCTACAAGATGTCCAAAATAAATGGCAGGATGACGATAAACTTTTGTAAACGAGCACACAAAATATGGGCTGTTGAGTGAAAATTGCATACATACACAATCAAAGAATGCACGCACCACTTTAAAACCAGGGTTATTTTAGTTCTTTTGAAAAACTGTTAAATCGTAGCATTCTTTTCAACTTGTTTGGCGTTAACTTACGTGCGCTTCTGCATTACGAGAGCAGGGGACAGGTCCTATCCAGTCCCCGATTATTGCGTCATCTGACCTTTTTGTCGGCCAGTGCGCGTGAGCTTTAAATGTGTTTTTTCAAAGCACCACTAAGTGACAGAGGCAGCCCGTGATGTCAACACGCCGTCATCCGGGCATGCCGACTCACCTTGGAGGCTGGCTGATACATCATTGTCAAATTGCGCCTGGTTGTTAAATGCCAACACGCATCCACTCACGCTCTCCCTCAACGCAAGGCCAAACTATGTTTGCATCTCCAAAACAGTCCCAGGATATCACTTTTTCTTTCTGCGGCTCGGCTCACTCCTGCTTAACAACCTCGACCTCCCTGGAGATGCTACGTCATCCCCATCGACTCCCACCGCCGTTGATCATTTCAATGAAATATGTCGCAGAGTTTTAATCAAGGCCAATTTGCATGCGGACAGGAAGGGGGTGGTGGGTCACACCTCTCATTGCCCCCCCGTGCGCCAAAGGGGAGCTGGTGTCAGAGGCACAGAGGTGGTCGAGACAAGACAGACGAGGTGGACAAAATGAGATGCGCGAGGTTTGATTAGAGGCAAGGGGAGGAGATGGTGGACTTCAAGGGGCGGGAACATGGCTGAATACAAGAAAAGTGCAAATTAGTAAGAGGGGGAGATGGATTGTTTAATTCGTATATCGTAACAACAAATAGTGATGTCATCGTGCCTTGTGTCAGAGGTTGACTTGCCATTGGATCTGGGTAGAAGATTAGAAATAAGACTTCATGGACTATGGGGCATTTTAAAAACTCCCAGTTTTTTTGTCTTGGTTTCTTACGTGCATTTGGCGGATTGCAAGTGCAAAATTTTGAAACCAAGATTGAATTATTTGGGGGGCTTTAATACCAAGATACAGTCTGCTTAGCGCAAAACTCAACAGGGAAAGCCTATTATGACAGCTTGAATAAATGTGGGTTTAACCCTTTCAGGGACAGCGGTCACTACAGTGGACAGCTTATCATGTTATCAGGTTACAGGGTGCGTGAAAGGGTTAATGATCGGCTTTTTAAATGGTGGAAGGTGTGTGCGGACTCCCATTTAACATGATTTTGAATGTGGTTGGTTAATTGTGAACACAACCACAGGCTCAGTCATGAAACGGTGCGCAATTTATTTTGTTCAATTGAGTTGAGCAAAAATTAAGCAAGTGCGGTCCCCCGCTAAATTTTAAGCAAGTTGATTTCAGTCATTGAGTTCAGCACATCGACATATAGACGTCGCAAATGTAATACGGACGCGACAAATATGACTGATGCATATTTCTTGCTCAGGTGTTGCCTTTTAGATTGACTGCGTAAACATACGAACGTGCTTGTTTTTGGCTTTGTATTTCACCCTGTATAACTGCATTTGCTGTTACGTAAACATAAAGACCCAGAGAGCTGTCTATCGGAGGAAAGAAAACAATTTTGAAGTTCAGTCAATAGGGGAACATCAATCATAGCTCTTGCTCAAACATTACACTTAACCAATACAACAGTTTGGAATGCGCGGGAAAAAAAAAAGAAACTACTGGTGGACTGAGCAACAGACGACAAACAAATCAGCCAAGAGTATCATCATCAGTAATTGATAACAAAACCGCCAACCTCCATAGGGCAGGGATGAAGGTACCACACTCCACTGTTTGAAAAAGACTTTGGGAGAAGAAAGGTTACAAAAAGAATCAGAAGGCTAGATTGGATTTTACCAAAAAATAAAAAATAAAATAAAAAAATCACAGGGATAAACCACAAAGGTTTTGGAGCTGGAGATGGACTTCTGACCTTTTGTCTCATATTCAACTTTTCATCTGAAACCCAGAGACGTGAAGTACAAAGGAATTCACCTCGCTATTCCAATGTCGACTTCATTTAGCGGGGATTGTGCACACTTATGTTATCTGCTATTTGCACAGCAGCCAGACACCGGGTCCAATAGGGCTGCTGCGGACAGGCGTTGGCTCTCCTCACCACTGGCTCACAATCCAGATGCTGAACCGTATGAATGTAAATAAATATACCAGATCATTCGAGTTGGGTGTCTGGCCACCCCCGCGCTCATTGGCTGTCTGAACAGACAAAAACCTGCCTGGTAACGATGACACTGGTGAGCCGGTGTTGGTGTTTACGACCACCGATGGCATCTTTTAATATTTTTTTTTCTAAAATGTGCTCATAATCTTTTGGGATTCTTTTAAAAGAACAACCACCAATACCTGTCACATTACCAAAAAAGAACACCACTCTCCGGCTCGGTTCCGACATTAAATATTCAAGATATGATCAGGCTGAGACTCGTAAGGTACCTGCTGTTAGATTTGGCAGAAACCTTTACATCTTGCTTTCATTTAGTGCGAGTACTACCGTAGAGGGTTTCTTCCTGAACATTAATTAGCAAACAGTTGAAATTTTAGCATGATGCTGAAACGGAAACCAAGACAGATGCTTTATCGGTATTCCCAGCGATGCAGTAAATCCCCCCCCCTCCGCCCCCCTCCCGCTTCTCAGCCCCCGAGACGAGTAACCACCCGCTGGGAGGCCGCACGCCATTTTCAGATGCTGACAGATTCAAACGCCAATCACTTTTATCCGGTTTGAAAAGTACTGGAGGCTAATTAACAGACTCCCCCCGACTGTTCAGTGTGTTGCAACATGGATCTCGGCTGTGTCAAACTGTGCAACAGTACGAAACGGGTTTGAAGAGTACCGTAATGTCGAGTTCCCTCGCTGCCTAAAAGTACTGCCGGCATCGTTATCAGACACCTCTGATGCCAAATGATGAAAGGAAGAAGGGCAATTAGTGAATGTTGGAGCTGCTGTCCAGTACGAGTCAATATGAAGGGAACACGAAGGATGAGATATTTTACTGAACAGCTCATTTAAAGATTAAAGACATTTTAAACATTTTCCCCAGAGTTAGGAAAGAGTCGATCAATCATTTACTCCTAGAGTGCGCTTCGTGAGGGGGCTTGAGTCCCATTGGCTCGTATGTCGGATCAATGTATGAGCAGGGGAAAAATTACACATTAACTTTGTATATGTGTATCTCTAAAGCAGGGGTCCACAAACTTTTTGGACCAAAGATCTACTTTTCGATCAACCCGCTACCGCACAAGCGCACATACGCACGCATTTACACTCGCATGACCTGATGAGCAATTTCCATAATGGCTTCGAAGACGAACCAAACATAAAAATAAAGTAGACACAAAAAAGTTTGTGAAAAGCAAATCACTGTCTACTTACCTTAGAAGAGACCTGACGCAGAGGCATGTGACGCATTTGATCGTAGCTCACGTGTTCCGTTTTAAAATGCTTCTCCCGGCACTCCAAATCTCCATTCTTTCCCCGTGCCCTCGGTATATTGTACATGAAACAAACTCTTAATGAGTAAAAATAACAATAAACGATACAGCGCAACAGCTCTGATCGCTAGCTGCAACTGCTGATCGCTAACAACTTCCGGTGATGGAGGTCGCGCGCCACCGTAGGTAAAAGGTGACTTGGTTTTTAATTTTATTTTTTAAATACTTTTTATGAAAGTCGGAATGATGAGATGCTAAGATTGCATTGTGCGCTAACACAAAAATATATCATTTTAATATTGCGCACACAGACACACAACTGTTTTGGGTTGGGTCATTTTTTTCCCTCCCTCTACACCCTTCGTGAACGATTTGGGACCAGTCCGCGAACTACCGGTCGATCGCAATCGACATTGGCACCTAAATTGTCCCTTCTGTGAGTGCGAACGGGTGTTAGTCTATGTGCGCCCTGCGATTGGCTGGCAACCACTTCAGGGTGTACCCCGGCTACTGCCCGAAACGACCCTTGTGACGATAAGCAGATCACAAAATGGATGCATGAGCCAGCCTTTTTAAGGTCATGAAGATTACAACACAAATAGCATAATTGGGGAATTTAGACCTTTATGAAAAGTCATGAATATTTTTTTTTCTTACCTGGGGGTTAAGGGGGGCTTGACCGATACATAGGGGGACTGAGAAAATAATTTATTCATGTTTCAATACTTAAATACAGGCTTCTGATGGAGCTATAGCCTCACCCCCCTTAACTCCCGTGTATCGCCAGTCCTGTGAAAAGTACACATTCAAATCGCTTTAAACAATCGCGTTAAAATGAAACATCCCAAAAAGACATTTAGCTTTACACACACACACACACACACACACACACACATTTACAAAATTAGCTTGCAGTCACCCTATCTACCCGGTAGTCTGGAGGCTCTGGGTTCAAATCTCATTTTAGGCTATCCTATTGTGGGATCGGTGCCTGCCTGGGTCTTCTCACAAGCCTCCTCCCACATTCCAAAAACATCCATTTTAAGTTCATTAAAGGCTCTAAATTGCACTTGGGAGTGAGCCTAAGTGTGACTGGTTGTCGAAACACGCGTCCAGAGATTGGATCGCGACCGGTCCAGGGTGTATACGCGACCTCTGATCCAAAGTCAGTTGGGATAGGCTCCGGCTAGCCCCGCAACCCAAAATGAGGACAAACACAGCAGAAAATGGGTGGTTGGATAATTCCCTTACCTTCGCTATGGCAAATAAAGAATCCATGACGAAAGTGTACTATATTCATTTGTTACAGAATTCATCAAAAGCATGCCCACTTAGCAATGAAGACAACCAATGTTAAACAATGAAAATATCCACCTTTATTCTTTGAGCATAACATATCAAAGACAAAACCTTAACTCTAGTATACGGTCACAATTAACAATGAACTATACAACAGTACAAAGAGTAACCAATAACTTCCGGACTTCTGGACATGGAATTATACTCCCTTGGTTCATAATAAAGCAGCGATGAGATAATTTCCATGTGGGCATTTGATCAGCTGATTGGACGACAATTACGGAAATGCAACAAGATGTCCCTTGACCGTGTTTAATAAAAATGCAACAGAAAAAAAAAAATGAAAAGCCGTTTCTGATGTGGTTTTAAGGAACTATCATGGCACACATTTCTGAACAACAGTAAAACATGCGACTCGAACTAAACTATTTTGGCTTGCGATGTAAATGTCACGCTTTGTAATGTCACAATGAGTTATACTTACGAAAGATGAACACACACATGCACCTCACGAGTAGGTCCTTTAACGCTAAAAGTGCAGCATGACACCTTCTTGTTGCAATGAACTCTCCCGCACACCTCTTCAACAGTTGTACTCCCAGTTGCTAAAAGAATGGGCTTCATTAAACACAGTCGTTCTTTATCATACGAAAAAAAAGGACTTTAATATCGATTTACAGGCCAAAGAAACTGACGAAAGGATGGCACGCGTTTGTGTACAATAACGTTAGAGCAAGATGAATACATAGACACAAGTAAATCAACACCGTAAAATACAAGGTGACTGCTTTCTATCCGAGACAAGACAGTGAGGCGATAAAGATTTTATTATTTTTTTTTTGTTTTAAAGCATCACACTGAGGGGAAAAAAAAATATGACAAACCCTTTAAACCAAGAGCTGCTCCCACACTTGCTCTCTCTTGTCGATTTGCAGTGTGGAAGCGCCGCATTTGGTCTGGACTTCCTGCTTGATACGACGACGCTACTTCAACGATCCTGATACGATAAAACTACATGGATGACAACACGAAATAAAACCAGACGGCTGGCACGTATCAGAGCTAATCTAGAGTACAAAACGCGGTTTCATTTTCACCGTAAGTGATGTTTAAATGCCATGTGAGCGTACGCCCTGTGCTTGTTTATCAGTCTGGGGTGGCGAACCTTTTGCGGGGGGGCTAACACAGGGCCACAGTTAGAAGATGGGGGAGGGGGGGTGATTTTTTTAAGAAGGGAAAAAGCTGTACGTTCTTGAAAAAATTCCACCCCCCCCTCAAGAAAAGAGTCATATTACAAGATCAAAGTGGTATTTTGCTTTACAAAAGTTGACTGGCTAAAGTTGGAGAAAAATCTTGTGAGAATGAAGTCATTTATGTTTTATTTAAAAATAGCATGTTACAAGAATAAAGTTCGGGGGTTTTTTGTTTAAAAATGTGGGAGTTTAGATTTTTATTTTAATCCCGTAATATTATGATTTTCATCTTTAGTCCCGACAAATTACAATTTTTGGCCCGTCAAAAAATACAACTTTTTCTTGACTTTTGTCGCACCCTTATTTAATCTTACTTTCACAATTATTCTTGCTCGCTTTTTTCCTTTCCGGTGGAGCTCTCACACGTCTTTGAAACAACGTCCTAAATTTAATGTAGGAGAATATTTAACATTTGTGGTTTTAGTTGGTGGGATTTTTAGACTGCAGTTCCTGTGGCGTCTCCCCCGCCCTCTCAAGTGGTGAGCATTGCCGCCTCACCGTTACGAGGTTGGGGGTTCAAATCCTGGCTCTGGCCCTCGTGTGTGGGGTTTGCATGCTGTCCCTTTGCAGATGTTCGTTTTCTCCTCCATTCCAAAAACGTGTTTTGAATGTGAAGTTAAACTCTAAATTGTCCTTAGGTGTGAATGCAAATGCTCATTTATTTACATTTGCTCTGCGATTGGCTTAGCACGGGCGAACGAACCCCTGCGTCTCGCTCATAGTCAGCGGGCATGCTCATTCCAGCGCACCTGACATCCTAATTCGCATGAGCCATCTAGAAAGTTTGAATGGTTAGAGGGCGGGATCAAATGCTCTCATTGGCCACCAGTCCCCCAACACCTGTTGTGTCATGACACCAAACTCGATTGTATGTAAATGATAACGAGTACTGCATGTGTATTATGGTGATAGAAAAGTGGTTTATGACTGGAAAAAGTCCCATTTGGAAAAGAGATTCGCGCTCAGAGAACACGCGTGTCAATGGGCCTGTTCATGTAAACGGAGCGGGCGTACGGATGCGTGTCTACATCTCATGGGTGAGAACTTGATGTTGGATTGCCACTCCGTTGGCTTGCACGACGCCGCCCGGAAGCAGTTCGGGCTGACCGTTGGCCTTGGGCTGAACAGGTGGACGCTCGGGCGGGTGAGAGCTCAAGTGACTGTTGGACTCGTTTAGCCGGCGCACGCGGTACGTCTCGTAATGGATGCTGCCCGTGATGTCCTTGATGTTCTGCATGTGCGTCCTGTAACAGAGGAAAAACAAACGTGTCCTTGAGCACCACATACCACTTTGTTATTTTCAATATTTTTATTGTATTTATAAAAATGTTTTTAAACCATATTCTACTGCTGTAGTATACCGTATACATTCAATGAGTAAACTATTAATTATTTCAGGATTTTATTTTCCAATTCTGACCCTATTAGATGGAGTTTTCCATGACAAATTCAAACATTAGTCCATGAATTGAACGAACAAAATTTTATATATATATATAACATAAGAAAAATAACTTTTTCCACATAGGAATTTTGTTTGTGGCTTCATATATTAAATTGGCATTTTTTTTCATACAGTAATATAAATTACTATAATCCAATATCGCCACGATGTAAAGGTAGAAAGAAGGCTTCTTTGGACAAGAACAAAAACCTTGTATTCAATAAGAGACATAATTTACAGTGCATATGATGAAATGTGGTCGGTATTGGAGTGTACCTGATCAGGAGGTCTCGCAGGTAAGCGAACTCACAGTGTGCAATGTTCTCCACTGCAAAACAAAGCAGACACGTATGGAGGTTGATTATTTCATCAATTCTTTTCCTGATGCACTCTCATGGAACTCGGCACCCACGGGCAAAACAAGCAAGCCATTAACTCGAACGATATAATGAGAAATTATATGAGCTCATAAATTCACTCGGCTCCACCCTGCCTGCGAGTCATCTATTCACCACAGGGTGGCAGTGTTGCTCACCGTATCGAATGCAGGATTTTTCTCTCACAAACTGAGCTGAGGCAGGCGATTGGTCATTTGCACTCTCCTTGAATTCACTCGCTTTTACTTTGACTGAAGGGGACTTTCAGTGACTCGTTTGCTCTGACAAGCGACGGGTGCCAAAAGTGTAGCGCTAACACGTGTTTGAATTCTAGATTATGTCAAGAGTGCAAATGGACACTAAATTAAATTCCCTTTGAGAGTGAGAGAGCGGAATGTCATCTTGGGGTTAGAGATGCTGATTAGAGACGTTGAGTGAACCCGTAAGCTGTATTGCCAAAACTATACGCTTGAACTCAAGGGTCGGGGACATACGGCCATGTGAGACATACGCACATCAGAGCATTAGCCATGCAATTCCAAAACCAACAAATCACCTGAGGAAAGGGTGGCAGTGAATCTATATCATATACAAGTTTCACCTCAACTGAACTATAGGAATATATAAAGCTTTTCACAGCTGAAAAAATGTCCACGTTAGTTCATATCACGTGTGTATTACCCTCAATGGTGCCCCATTTTGTTCTCCTTCCCAGAATCCTCTTCCCGTTCTCCTGGTACTCCTGGTCACTGCCCACCACGGCAAAGGGGATCATTTCCTGTCGATAACACACACACACACACACACGCACACGCACACACACACACACACACACACACACACACACACACACACACACACACACACACAGGGAAATGCTTCGTTTGTTTCATTGATGGCTTCACTGCGGCCATTTTTTTGGTCGTTTCTGACTTTACCCTGATTTTATCATTAATCATCCTGTCCTCTGCGTCCTCGTCGAACTCTTTCTGAGGGTAGACATCGATGTCGTTGGCTCGCAGCTCTTCCCTTATCTGCGCAAAACAGCGGATTGCAAGCGTTTGAGGTTGAACGACTCAAAAAGTGGAACGGGGCCCGATCGGGCTCATTTTGTGGCCACCAGGCTGGCTCACCGTCTGCTTGAAGTAGTCCCTCTCCTCCAGCGTGAGCGTGTCGGCCTTGGCGATGACGGGCACGATGTTCACCACCTTGCTGAGACGCTTCATGAACTCCACATCAAGAGGCCTCAAACTGCAGGAGAGAACGGAAAAGAAATGATTCTAACCTAAAAGAGAGTGACATGCCTGAATGTCCAGTTGTCCACTCCGTTACCATTGTTGATGTTGAAGCCACATCATAAACAGGTAGAATATGCAGCTTGTTTCAGACGTGCACAAATGCCACAGAGTTGACTGCAATGAGTCAAAAGCAACCACTAGATGACAGCCATGTGCTATTTTATTGAGTCCAGGCTGACAAGTAGGCATTTTGAAATGTGTGTATTTTTTCTCTTCATTGCTATTATGGCATAAAACGTGAAACCTTCAAAACCTTTTTGAAAACAGGACTTCCAAACTTGGCTCTTTCAGCATGAGAGACACAAAATGCTAAATTACAAAAGAAATATATATTTACATATGTCTTTATTGATCAAATTATATGAAAATGATTCATATCTAGCAATCCAATCATTTTCTACAGCACTTGACTTCATTGTAGCAGAGGCAGGGCACACCCTGGACTGGTCACGACCACTCACATTCACATTGGCACCAATGATTCAGATTTAGAGTCATCGATTAACCTCAGATGAAGGGAAAGTGCAAACTCCACAGCAGAAGGTCCGTCCGAGAGTTGAATCCTTAACCTCAGAACTGTGAGGCAGAAACGCTAAGCACAATTGCTTGATGCTGCCCTACATGTGCAACCAACACTGTCGATGTTTCATTGACTGCAATCTTCCAAACTAGGATGGGAGTTACCAGCATCTTTTTTTGAACGCCGAATTGCAATTCTCGTATTTTATGAAGCAGCCAGAACGCAATAAATTTCATTTCCCGGTCTTGGATAATCATCACATTTTCCCGCTTCCTTCTTTGCTTCCCTCCTGTTGTAATATCGTGGCAAAGAAAGCCAAATAAAAAGCAAAAGACGTGTGGAGTTAATCATTTAGATTAGTCTCTCTGAGATTTGCTCACATCCCACACATGGTGGGAGTTTAGACCGCAACTTTTGTCTTTTAAAGCCTATTTATTTTCCCCACATCGCTTTGAGTGAACTCCATATTGTATCACTTAGGCAATGTTTCTTTTGTGCTCATCCCATCTTTCATCTCCGAACAACAAGCTCACGCTAGCTGCAAAAAAGTACTCATATGTGATGCGCTGCTTTTTGAACTTGTCACTTTTTTTTTGCAGTTTGACTTGATTTCTGCCTCTTTTTCCATACGACTACTCTTGGCTGTGCTGTTCAATTAGCTTCAGCCGAGGCGAATCCGGTTCAAAGATCCAGGCTGGGTCATCCCGGAAAAAAGAACAAGCCTCTGCCGGGCGCTTGACAGGAGTAAAAAAAAAAAAAAAAAAAAGAAAAAAGAAATTACGCCAAAGAGTATTCGTGGGAAGAGTGACAATTAAAGCGACAAATGTGACAACAGGAAGACGTGCAGTCAAGCAGATGTCATGTGAGATATACACGAGTAGACATGCAAGTATATTTCACGTTTTCCTGCTGCATATGTTGTAAAGACAGAGGCATAAGCAGATGTGCCCCATCTGTTGCATACAGAATAAAGTTATTGATGTGTTTGTTCCCCCTACCCAAAAAAAGCTCAAACAAAACAAAAACAGGTGAATGGGAAAACTAGCGGCTACAATGCAAACCACTGTATTTGATGTAACGGATCATAAGCGATAATTTCCCATCGAGAAGGCTTGCAGAATGAGGTAATAACCCGAAAAAAGAAAAAAAAAGTAGAATTGGCGTGGCTATTATCAGTAATGGTTGCTGTTGCATGACAGCGCCCTGCTTCTGTAGCCACTGTTCAGCTATCCAAAACCCCTAAAACCAAATAAAAGGACATCAGTGACATGCAAGGAAAATTAGAGCAAGATGATATACGCAAGTCTCCTTCAGATAAACACAGCAAGACTCGAAATTGCATGAGGGGCTTTTGCTTCTTGGCCCCGCAAATGCACAAACAATCAACACAATATTCCGGAGCCATCACAGTCATCTGTTGCTTACAACTGACATTGACAGTTCTTTTTAAACATGATTAAATCGGTTTCAAAAGCAGCTAGCTTTGCATTTTGTTCCTTTTATGTAGCCAATGTGAACTAAACGGTGACCTTACAATCAAGTTAGAGACTGATTTTTGGCCCACCTTGACACCTTTCGTGATTATACGTCCACATCATAACGTGTGTCGGCTGTCACATTGAACCCCCACTCACATTACCATGACAGACCCAACAGAAGACCTCTTCACAAGGACAATCCTAACGAGAATGCGCTCTGCGCCTCCATACCGTGCATTCTAAGCCTTCATTCATTCTGCCTCTCTGATTCCTGCGTCTACAACATCCATTTAAATCCAAGTCAGCTTTGTGCTTGGCAAAACCTCGGCGTTTTCCCGCCCGCGACTCTTGACAGGCGGGGAGAGTGCCAAGATGCTGACAGATGCTTCTTGTTCAAACACAGCAGTCACTGGTAACAATCGTGTCTACGTGCAAGCAAACAATATGGACGGTAAAGCGGTTTAGTTGTCGCCGTGTGCCTCGTGGAGCAAATCCGAGGCGTCCACGTAGCATAGCCACGGTGCACGCGCGCGCGCGCGCGCACACACACACACACACACACACACACACACACACACACACACACACACACACACACACACACACACACACACACACACACATTCCAGAAGTAACAGCTGTGGTGACATGATCACACGATGAGGGAGGCTGTCAAACACACACAAACTCAATGGCTTCTCTCGAGGGAATCGTTTAACGGGACAAAGCTGGACCTCGGAAAAATGAGGCAGTCGTGAATGAAGACATCACTGGGAGGTCACAAGGTCATGTTGTGTGCTTGCAGTTTGTACGCGATGTGTGTTTATAGGCATGTTTGTGTGCAATGCAATAGTATTAAACCTGCTTTTCATGAGGTTGGGCATTAAAAAGGGAAATGTCATGTCAAGGGGTGGAAAGAGGAGCACTGTACTGTGCAAAAGAATTGAACCACCACTACTACTTCAAAGCAGTTTATCTTATCTTATCTTATCTTATCTTATCTTAATTGAACCACCACTACTACTTCAAAGCAGCCGTTTGGACAGAGTCAAACGATAACTGGTCAAACTTCTGGTTCCAGATGTTGCTCAGCTTTTTACTTGCAATGTGGCACTAATTGTGTGTGTTTATGGATGGATGTGTACGGAACCACTGTAGATCTTTTAGTTCCAAGGCGGGATACAATAAATAGAATGGAAACCTGTTGGCCTGTCAATGTGACACAGCAATCTGATAAAATGCGAGCAAAGGCAAGCGTGAGAGCGAAAGAGTTCAGTTACTTGGTGAAATTTGATTCTCCAAAGTCCTCCTCGAGTGTCTCTGAGGAGGTAATGACTTCCACGTGTGGTCACAAGAGAGCCGGCTGCGGTACAACTGAAGGATTTGGGGAAAATCCCCGGCAGGGCCTGCTTCTCTTTGGCAGCAGTGGGAGACACGAGTGCGGTCGAAGTGTGTAGTTAGCAACATGCTAGCTAGCCTCAGGCATGTTGTCGTCTTTGTGTGCGCTCACCAGTGGCCAGTGGGCGGGATGAAGTATATGCAGCAGTGCACCCTGGAGTCGGGGATTCTCTTCTTCCTGTCAATGTTGATCTCTTCCTGCAGGTAGGCTTCGTACTGGTCGTTGATGAACTTCATGATGGGCTGCCAGCTGAGGAGAATGTGGGAAAAAAATTGTCAACATCCGTGTGCCCGACTAAGAAAAGAACGCTAATGATCACAATGAAGAAGTCATGCCGTATTTTCCGAACTACAAGGCGCACCCAAGAGTATTCCATTTTCTCAAAAGCCAACAGTGCGGCCTATAATCCGATGCGCCTTATATATGGTGTCATAGTCTCTTTACATTACTCATTGAGTTGTTTCCTATGCCATCTAATGGCGATTATTAGCAGGAACCAATCGTAACCTAAAAGGGTCCTGCCCAGCACTAATTGACAGTCATTGAATTTGCCCAGCTCCAAAGGTACAGAAGTGTTTCATGCAATTTGGGAAACAGTATGTGCATTACGTTACGATTTTACTATTTATAATTCATCTTGACTTTTGACGATTGTTTTTGAAGGAGATCAATATGGACAGTTGCACATGGATCTCACACGTTCTTTGCTGTGACTAAGTTGCATTTTGCAAATGAGACGGCAGACTGAAGACGATGCAATTTTGCAATCAGTGAGGCCTCACCAGTTCTCATTGTTGATCTGATCCCCAAAGCCTGGCGTGTCGATGACCGTCAGCTTCATCCTCACACCTTTCTCCTCAATATCTGCACACAGAAAGCGGGCATGAGAGGTCGACTGATTTGTCTCGAGGTGTGAATGGGTTTTTGTGCAGACACTTCCTGCGATTGACTGGCGACCAGTCCAGGGGTGTGCGCGGAAGGAGACAAGCGATGACCCACCGTGACTGATGGACTTGATCTCTACGGTCTTTGGGATCCTGTCCTCAGCGTTGGGCTCGACCGACTTGCGGCTCACCTTTGATTTGAACAGCGTGTTCATCAGAGTGGACTTCCCCAAGCCGCTTTGCCCTGTTGACCATGAACACAAGCGTGCGTGCGCACGCACAAACACAAGAGACTTAGAAGGTTTAATGAAGTCACATTTAGACTTTCTAAGGTTACTTTAAGACAATGGGCGATACTCAAATACATTTTGTGATAGTATTTTTAATATACTACAAAATAAGTATGAGCCATTTTACAGTAATTGAAGCGAGCAAGTGGCAGCATTTATTAATGTAAACTATCGACATATAGCTTTGGATATAGATATATATATATCTTTCCTTTAAAAGAACCAGTGGCTTTACAATCAAAAAGAGCCCACCAACAGCCCGCTTGCGGAACAGCAGGTGGCTGATAAAATGACTGTGACAATTTAGTCTAAGACACAGAGAAGGTGCTGCAGGAGTCTTTGAAGAAGTGTACTCTACTGTATTTTTTATTGCATTTGATGACCTGAGTGGTATTTTTTTTTTTTTACTTCCTTCATCCTTAACACACGTTTTGACCCACAGTGCCAAACCTGAAGAAAAAGACTTTCAAGAAAGCCAAACAAAAGCATATTCTTTCACACTACTAGAGTGAAATCCCTCCGGACATCAATTACATGGACATTGTCTTGGGTAGGGCTAATTAATAATTAGGGGGTGCAATAGACCCCCTGACTCTTAATTTTTAGTCTTATCAAGACGTTTGGGACAGTTTGGTGAAGGCCCATTTTGTTCCCAGTGGCAAAAAAAAAAAAGATTCGAGACTTTTTTTTTTGAGGCATACTCAGATGAGCTTGAATGAAAGAACATCAGTGAAATAACACAAATGTTCGTCTGGATGAACAAGAAACGCCAAGATCTTGTCGTTGCTTCCTCGGTGCAACCATCATGTCCAGTATCCCAATACTTTTGTGTCTTGTGGCGCTTGTGCCTGTGTGTGTGCATGGGTGAGCATACAGTATGTGCGTGTGTGTGTGCTCCTTAATGGAGCATGAGCGTAGCAGGACAGCTGCAGGGTCATTTGAAGAATCTATGGAGGTCAAGAGGACAGATGTGTGGAGCCCCCCCCCCCCACACACACACACACACTTTTTTTTTTTTAACCAATTAACTCATTCTTTCCTGTTTCATCGATATCGATAATATAATGCACGACAGTCTGGAGTTCCATCACACTCTCTAGGTGTAGTATTATGGCCACCAAAGCTCACCATGCTGGTCGCAAATCATTGCAATAGTACCGCAACGCAAAAATGAATTTCAAATGGGTATTTTCCTAGAGCACACTTGCATTGTTTGGTACACCGGTGGAGAGTAAAAAAAGTGTGATTGAACACCGCAGTGATTTATCATCTAAGCGCAGGTTTCATTCGCACTCAAGGTGATAAAGCAAGCTGACACATGTCGGCTTCAAATCTGTGATTTGGCCCGCAACAATGATTAAAATGCATCACGTTCGCACCGAGGTTCATTCACAGTGCGAAATTGTATCTCAAGCTCAGTCCAACTGCCTTGAACCGTACTTTGACGTGCAAAAAGTACTGCTGTCGTGCAACGGGAATGCAGATGTGTTGCTACCTTGTGGTTTTGTAAATGCAAGGATAACCTTGTAAGGAGTGAAATCAAGGCATCAATGCGTAGCAGGAGTAACAAATTTAAATCAGGTGAAATGAGACATTCCATTCATGATTTACAATGATAGGTGTGACATTATGCATGCAAATTTGTGCTCATACACGAGCTACATTTTACAATAACAAACGTAACGTGTTCTGATGGTCAACAGTGGCATTTTTCCAGATTTGAACAATCTATGTAGAAATAGCGGTAATGTGTTTCAGGCTCAAACTGTCACCATCATTTCACCCTTTATCAACTCTTAAGTAGCATAACATTTGAACTGTGATACAGGGGTAAAAATAAGTTAACCTCTGCTCGCTAATCCAAAAGCACACATTTCAATGAGTGAGACACGTTGCAAAAAAACTATGTAATATAAACCATTTTGGTCCCAACACTGACCTCTGGGGGACACCACGTATAATGTCAAAACCTTTTGATTTGAATTCACCCAACTCCACAAACTGTTGCCATTCTTTTGAAAAGCTTCCAAGCCAGTTGGGCCTGTATCCTTAATGCCACAACAGCGCCTATAATAACTTCTACATTTTGTATGATGTTATATTGAGTATGATAGTAACAGTATATGAACATTATAAGCAACTATTGATTTATTGATGACACAAGATTAAGACCAGAGTGAATTTTTTTTTTTTACCCCTTTCTAATTTTCGAACATTTACTTGATGTAAAAGAGGGTATATTACCACCAATTGGGTTGACCGCTATTTTTACTTTCATTGGGTTGCTTTGATTTGATGTTTTGTTTGGGTGTATGTTTGCGTGAATTGTCATTTTTCTTTTTACTCACAAATGTGCTTATAATAACAGTTGTTCTCTGCTGTCATCTACGCACACAATTTCCCCTGTGCTACTCTGCACTTCCATAAGGATTGAGCCACACGGGAGTCTTGCTTGGGGGGTGGGTGTGGTCTTCTGAGCTCTCTTTTTGTCACGCGGACAATTCTGAACAAAAGACTCGACTCAGGGAGGATTGTCTTTACTGTCAACAGGAAGCGCGATTCCTCAAAGCAAGCAACGGGAATTACTTTGCAAATCGCACTCCAAGCTCCCCGTGCTCCTTGTCAAACTTTTATTGATTACAAATGAAAATTACAAGTACCATACAAGAAAAACACTGTCCCCTATATTTGCACACCACGCCCCCAGTCCGGCCCTTTGGCCGGACATCTGATTAACTTTTGTCAAGCTTTGAACCACAGATAATCTGACACCTTCATGTCTGGCCTTCCATGAACAAAGAATTTGCAGACCTTGCAGATGACAAATGTTTTCCTGGGCCACGACCAGTTCCCAAAACGTTTACTCTCTAGCTGAGCCTGCATCCTTTCATTTGTATGCAAACAGCCCAACAGCACTTCACACCCTTGCGGACTTCAAAGAGCCCTCTGCCCGAGATGACCCAACATCGTGCGCATAGACATTTAGGGCGCTGAATACACAAAAAACGTCTAGACAGACCCAAAATTAAATAAAACTTTAAACATAATATCATTGTGTTCGTTGATTCTCGATCACTTTTCAAAAGCAAATGTTGAAATTTAAGTGCAATTGCAAAAACAGCGCTCCATCGCGAAGTGCGAGCTAAAGCCGATGCATCCTACCCCAAATTAAAGGTATATTTCTTAACATGACAAATTCACCACTTATCTTTATGACCACATTGCTCGTTCCGTGCAGAGTTAGGCACTGCATGATAGTTATTACGCACTGAAGTTCATCCATAAAAAGAAGTGCTTTGTTCCACATTTTGGCATGCGGCAGCCAAAACCCCAAACTCTTCCTAATGAATAACATGTGATTGTTTTTATTGAACTGAGTGCTGAGTCAATAACTGTTGTAAACACATAAGAAAAAATTACAGCTTTGGGGTTGATTGGAAACATGTGCGGCTGTTTCAAAGAATGAAAAAAAAATGAAGCAACCATTTGTGGAGCTACAGGACAGGACGGCTTGAAAGGTAAGTCGTTTATTTGAGAGTGAGCATGGCTTTTGCAATGAGCACATGTGTTTTGTGGAATCTGGAGAGCAGTTAAAGTCATCTTGAATTATTTTTACGATAAATATCGGCTCTCGCCAACAAAAGCATGACCAAGAAACAAGGCCGGTGAACTCGATGAGTTATGGTCAGAGGCCGCTAAAGCAGAAAATGTTGACCCAGACAAGTGGTGCAGCGTGACTGTAACACTTACTTCTGACTGAACCAGCGCCACCACCGTGCTTCCTGATGTGACACCGAAATGAATGTGTGCAAATGCAAGGGGACATAGCACAGTGCAGCAAACGGTTTACGGTAAATCAAACAGCACCAACGTGAGCGAAGTCCATTAATCAGCCTTTTTCATCCTGTAACATTGCAAAGACTCAAGGCTTTTTATCATCTTGTTTATATGTAACGTGCTGAATTGACGATTTGGAATATCACCAACATTTTCTGGAAAAACTGGATGGATGGGAAATATGCCGCAGTCAAACAAACCGCTGTCTTCACCCTCTATCATACCTGATAGATTCATTGAAGACCCCAAATTGTACGTAGGTGCAAGTGTAAATGGTTAATTATAAGAGGCATGTGAAAAAGATTCCAGGAATGGTGTCACAAAAGATATGCAGGTATTTCAAACTTGTTTTCCCGTTCAATGTGGGCCAAAAGATCAAAGATCAGCACATCCACAAAAAGATCCTGTGGTATAAGTTTGATTCAGTGCAGAAGATGAGATGAGAGTTGCGGCTGGACAACATGCGGCCGCTTCACAATCCGCCTGCTCACAATGCCCAGAGCATCTGACAGTTCCTGGCAGAGAAGAAGAGTGCCATGCAAGAGTGACCTTCTTACCCACTCAACCTGGCTCAGTGTCATTTCTTTCGTCTTTTCCAAGCATAAAAAAAGAGTCATCAAGAGGACTCATTTATAAGATGTGGGCAACATCAAGATGGCTGTGAGGATGGAGATGCCGAGGATCCTGGAATGCGTCCAGGAGTGTATGAAGGGCTGGGAAAGCGTGTCATACTCCAGAGTTTTCTTTTTTTCTTTGTAATGCGTCGTTTGTGACACGAGAACTTTTCTGACACAAATCATGCAAGTGGCTGGTGACCGTTCCAGAGTGTAGCCCGTCGCTAGAACATGAATGGATGTTTGGAACTTGTGTGATGGATTGCTTTGACTTTTATTTGGAGTCGTCGGGTACGATTCAAGTGACGACTTCCTAAAATGTATAAGTTAGCTTCAGCAAATGATAAAACGTGTCCAGTTGTATCAAGTAAGTAACAAGTCTTAAGGCATCAGTCACAATGCTAAAATCCATCCATCCATCTTCCATACCGATTATCCTAACAAGGTTCTCTCGCTACGTGAGCTGGAGTTTACCCAAGCTGACGTGCACCCTGGACTGGCCGTCAGCCAACCAACATTCATATGTAAGGATAATTTAGAGTCTTCCGTTAACCTAAGAAGAAGCTAGAATACAGGCAAGAACCCCACACAAGCACGGGGAAACCCCGAAAACACCATGCCGGAACCCCGAACCTCAGAAGCGTGAGGCTAAATGTGCTAACCACTTGCCCACCATTCTCAAAGCTAAAATGATGATTCAATTTCTAACCACGGTGTTAAGGTGTCCACTCGACTCACCCACAACCATGATGTTGAGCTCAAAGCCTTGCTTCATGGCCTTCCTCCTCATCTGCTCCAGGATGGCGTCGATGCCGACGTAGCTGAAGTCGCTGGCGTGGTGGGCCTTGTCCCCTTTGCCGTGCGGCGGGTTGGGATGGTGCGGCTTAGTGTAGTCGGACATGTTGCTGTGGCTCAGACTGACTTCTGACCCTGGAGGAAGTATGGAGAGACATTTGATTTGATGAGTAACAGCCTTTCATACCAGAGATGGTTATCTCACGTTTACATACCTAACTACAAGCGAGACAGTTTCATTTTTGTGTGATTCCCTCACAACCTCAATCCAGTCTGCTTTCCTTTGACTAAATTATCCACCAAATTACTGCACAGAGCAGCCTAAGCCACCTGTGCCAGGTGTGCTCCATTTAAGAATCATGAAAGCTCAACAGGCGGATGCTGCAAACTACAAATGACGCCTTACCTCGCTATTGAGTGGGGGGGGAGCTGTAGCAAGAGAAACGATGCATGCAGCAAGTGCCCAACCACTGTTGCGACAGGCCAAGTGAAATATGCAAAACTGTGCCAAATGCACTGGTATGTAACACACGCAACTGTCTGTGGGAGGAGCCAACGCTTCCTGTGCAATGGCAGAAAAGCCGCAGAGTTGTCTCTCAGTGCAAACGCAGGCATAAATAAAACTGGTATGCATGGTACAACTGAAGTTGAATGGACACCAGCGCACAGCTTGTATGCAGTATTATACTTGAGTTTTATGCATTCAAATGACTGCAAAACCCACAATATTACTGCATATATGTTAAAACAATCTAATAAAGCGTTGTCACATACCGCCACGCACCAAGTCCTTTGTTCACCAAAACTCAATGGTGGGAAGTATAAATATTTTATTGCTGTATTTAAGTATATATTGGCGGTATAAACGTTGCTTTGTATTGTTTCTTTCACAACCTATTTGGTTTTTATTTCTGTCATTGTGGTCTTAAAATTTTATGTGTCTCACTGTTATATTTTAGACTACGGCTGAAAACTAGCATTTATGCTAAGCCCAGCGCATTTACACTGTTGATTCTTGTGATGGTTAATGTGTACTGTCCCAATGAAATAAAGAAATAAATAAAAGTAAAAAAACTTGAGTATTTCTTTTCTGGTGATTTTTTTACTCCCTACATTTGAAAACACAGACATACTTTCTACTCTTGGTCAAAATAGGCTTGTCAGTTTTTTTTCACCTACTGTGCATGATGATGATGATGTGACATTTAAAAAAAAAACAAGAGGTAGTCAACTGCAGTTGACACTGGCCTCATGGTGCTCTTTGACGACAACTCAACAGATTCATAGATGCAATATATTCCCCATTTATGGAAGCGTTTAAGAGAATTGTGAGTTGCGGCAACCGAAAAATCTGCCACTTCAAATCTAAAAACTCACAGGTGGGATTTAAAAAAAAATATAGAGATCATTAGCTTCCTTGGCATTTTTTTGTGACTTAGTGAACAAATTTACTGAATAAAGATTGTCTCTATAGCATAAAAGCGATGCCAAAACTAGCTAGCTTATAACCAACTACATGCTATTTGTAAACACGATGTGTCTTCAAATTAATGGCGCAAAACCACCTGAGCCACAAACAAGGACATTTCAGAGTCTCTCCTTCGACTTCAGCGAAGGAGTTGACTCAGTACTTCTACTTTTAACAGTGCCGCACTTCTACCCCAGGAAGTTTACTGAACCTGTTAAAACACTAGAATCGCTTTTAACGAGGCCTATGTAGGAATAGTTGTTCCGAATGTATTATTTCTCTGTTTTATGTTATACAATGTGTTCTGCTCTATTATTGTTATTTAGATGTTAAATGTTCTGGTGAGCACAGCTGTTGTGAAAGCACTGTATGAATAAGGGCGTATTGTATCATATTCAATTTTACTGTTACTTGTAAGCCTTCAATCATCCAATTCAGCAACGTGCACCACACAAAAGTCAAGCGCAACAGCAGAAAAGGCTGTCTGGCATTGGGGCAGTGAACATTCGACACGACTGCAAACGACCGCTACAATAATAAAGACATTGTTAAATCAAGAACTCTCTCACAGTGTCAATCAAAAGTGAGCAGTATTATCCTTTAAAAGCCTTTTTTTTTTAAAGACAGATCTTGAATTTCATTAAATTGTGCAGGTGTACCAAATGAAGGGTCCGTAGCGTTTGACGGACGTGGCAACAGCACCGATTTGCAGTCTTGTTGGCTGCTGAGGAAGTGATTTGAGGGGCCCCCGCATAGAGTCCGCAAAAGAACATTCTAGTGTCGTATCAAATAGCGTTTTCGTTGAGGCCCCAAAAATGTCTTGCTGCACCCCTGTGTGCAGGCTTAGACAGCGCAAGGCTGTTCTCAGGTTCCCTCCACTCAATCCCCGTGAGCTTCTCCTCCAATAAAAAGACAAAAGAGCTGTAGTTTCGGACTGTGCACGAGGGGTGCGCCACACCTACGTGCAGCCTCCGTGGTATCTTTCAACGCTGTTCATCTCACGACTCCCACTGGATTTGACCACATCAATGTCCTCACTGTGCTTTGGCCAAAATCTCAGCAAACACAGACGAGCCGCAACATGATGACCACATTTATACCGGAATAGAAGAGATTCAATGGAATGAAAAGGGCGTTTGGCAAATTTTTCTAGACTGGTTATCTTCACTTTGCACTTGTATGAAAGTTTTAGAACGCAGGTGTCAAACTCAAGGCCCGGGGGGCTAGATATGGCCCGCCACATCATTTTATGTGGCCCACGAAAGCAGCTCAAACATGTCAACTTCCATGAGCCTTTCTAAAATGTCCACCAAAATTTTAAATTCTCATATGTAATAAATAAGAGATATATTCTAAGCGTTTTATTGTTACCAAACCCCTCATGATAGTAACTTCAACAATAGTTAAATCAACAGTTATTCTTGACATCTTTGAATCGTTTCAGTCATAACGGCCCTCCAAGTGAAACGGTAACTAAAATGTGGCACCAAAAATACGTTGGACACCCTTGTTTGAGAAAGTAACAGAATGGTTAAAATATTATTTAAAACATGACATGCACAATACTAAAAGTTTCACAAAAATTGATTTAAGGCCAAACCAAGTCACCAAAAAACTAATAATTTGTAAATTTTACTGCAGACCTACCCACCAACGTGTGAGGAAGTAAGTTAGAACAACGGCAGAGAGCTCGAAGGAAAAAGTCCAGGAAATGACGGAGCTGAAATGGCAAACTTTTGAATCATTTCACACAGAAGATAAAGTGCAATGTGCCGACTGCAATGCAGAACTAAGGCGAAACAACAGCAAACGCACATCATTCACCTTACCAGGCACTACTTTTTAAAGTCACACACATTTAACGGCACAGTTACGACAGTGTAGAGCGTGAGGATAGTGTCCTCAAGTGGGGAAAAAACAATACCTACACCTCATGTGCATATTTTGCATTTGTACTACTCTTTAATAATGCAAAAAATAATTGTTTTCCTGATGACTTCATAAATCGATGGGATACTCAGGGGGATCATTGATTCTAATAAAATTTAATAACTGCAGCCATGTTGATTTCCCTGTTGACTGGAACTTAGTTCACGCCGACAGATCTTCAAAAAGCACTTTGAGAAGCATTGCTCTCTTGTCATGCTCCAAAAGGCCACCGCTATTAAACAAACGGCCAAAATGACACTATTGTTACTGCCACTAACAAATTGCCTTATGAAGGTAAAGATCTTTCAGCCGACCAGGTCAGGGCGGGCATTGAAGCCATGAGTAAAAAGGCATCCCTGACACTCAGGAATGCCAATTCATCCACGCTGTAACATGAATCCTCTGAATGGTGCTCGACGGTGGGCCGGAGCTGATTTTGAGCCACGTCGCTGTCCTCAAGGACCCCTACATAGACGGTCCGATGTGACAGGATGAGATCCATTTATCTTTAGTGAACGTGATGGGTTATCCAACACGATCATATTCGCTGACTCCTTCACTGAACTTTTTGTCCCAGTGTCGTAAGCGAGCGAGAGGCTGCAAATGAGCTGAACGGACACGCGTCAGGTCCGCGGCCAAGCAGCCTCACGGACACCGTGACCATCTGTAGTCATAGATTTGCGCTTCTAAGAATAGGGTGAACACTCTGGCAGGGACAAATGGATCAACAACAACAAGAACCATGGACACATGCAGTGAAAGCAAGCATGACCTGCTTTATTTCAACTCTCTTGCCGCCTAAAAGCTAAGACTATTTTCATCTTGGAGGGGGCGACAATGAGCTGGCGATTAGCACCACCCCTCCGCTGCCTAACGTATTTGCGAAGGGTCAAGGCTGCAGGGGCGTCCCTTGAGTCACGTCTTAATTAGAGCGTTCTAATGCGACACAAAGACGATGGCGTCAATGACCTTTGCCACACACGCGGTCTTTCCGGATGAGTAAGCGTGTGACAAATGGGCAGAGACATTAAGTGTGACTCATATCACCACTACTGCGCGACATGCAAATCTGAAACTTCGGAGACTACGGCGCAACTACAAGTCAATTATTTATTTACTTTTTACGCGAAGGGGGAAAAAAAACATGTACAATTACGGCCTTCGGTACAGAAATCTGAAACTTCGGAGACTACGGCGCAACTACAAATCAATTATTTATTTATTTTTTACGCGAAGGGGGAAAAAAACATGTACAATTACGGCCTTCGGTACACCAGTGTGAGCACAAAACCTTGTTGTACTAGAATGTGTGTGTGTGTGTGTGTGTGGGGGGGGGATTGTGACATTTACAGTATTTTAATCCTAGGCAATTTAATTGGTGGAAGGTGTGTGCTGCGATGAGTTTTAAAAGTTTTGTCATGTTTTTCTGGATCACAAAAAAAAATGCATTTAAACAAGGGTGTGTAGACTTTTTCTATCCACTATACATGGCAAAGCCAGCTGCTTTTGGTGTTGACGCGATTCAACTCCCAGAATCACACACCAAGACTCCCCAAGCATGCTTGACACTGCCATCAATTTAAAGTTTTCGTCGACAGAGGTCCTTTTTCTTTCGAATGGAAGCAGTTTGACTCTGGCTCAGATGAATCTTATTTCCACGACTTCCTTTCCAGCCCACTGTATCATCAACACCTGACCCCACGCAATAAAACACACGGAAATATTTGCGCCACCGCCA